CTTTGTTATAAAGCGAATGATTTTATTTGAGGTATTTTATAGTCGTTCTTATTTTTGGTAGAAATTTGTTGATACTAATAAAATTCAAAATAAATTTACGGTATCAAGTGAGCGATTTTATGTTGGTATAAAATGTCCGAAATCAAATGGTATGCTTATATTTGTGGATAGAAGTGTATTTGAAAATTTTGAAGACAAAATATGTTGTATGAATTTTATTCGGTATGGTATGAAAGTCAAAATTGAAGTTGATTTGTTATAAAATCAAGGTAAATGATTCTCAAATTTTAGCATATTCCCATAATAACTTGTCATAAGATATTAATGATATTTCATCAAATTGATATGTATTCCTCTTAAGAATCATAACGATATTTGAACAAATATTGGTTTATAAAATTTAAAATCCCCCCTATATATAGTTACAGAATGCGTTGAGCCTAATGTGGCAGACTCGCACGCTTCGGAATCTTATGTGGTAATTTTTCATGCTTTGTCATTTAGTTTGGATAGATTATAATTTATTTCCAATTAAAAAATAACTAGCCTTGTAATATCCATATATATACTTGATATTATAATCAGTTTAAGAGTATTAATTATGTTGTAATACTATTTCCTATTATATACGTGATTTATATGACATAATTTTTTTCTCCAATCTTTTTTTTATTCATATTTTTCTATAATTATAGAAAATTTACTAACATAAATTATGAATATATTAAAAACTAATAACTTTTTTATTATTATCAAATTTTTGTATATAATATATCAAATTAATCATGTCTTGGTTAGATTCGATTTGACATATGTATTGTACATAAAAATAAATAAGTAAATAAATATATTTATCTTTATAATAAAAAATAAATTATATATTAATATTAATTAAAAAAAAATTATTTGAATTAATTTAACTACAAATTAGTTATATGCTATAGTTAAAAGTTATTATAACATAAGATGCTAAGTCGTATTAGTGATGAATGTCATTTTAAATATAAATAAAAATATATATAAAATTTTATTTTTTTAAAATTTAATTTTAAATATAGATTTCTTAACAAGCACCCGTGTAATACACGGATATTGTACTAATTTTTAATTTAATTCTAAATAATTAGTTGATAATTTTGAACGATAAGGTAACCGACAACAATTCTAGAAAATTACGAGATAATATATATCATATATATACTAGCACATAATCCGTGCGATGTACGGGGAAGCATGTTATTTGATGATTGTAATATTAGATAATGGGATACACGTTAACAACATAACACATAGATATTTAGAATAAAACACAAATAAATGTATGTCTACATATTTGAAAATAAATTTGAAGACACAACTATTTGTTTTTGAAAATCTACGTTGTCAATATTTTGCAGGATATCAAAATTGCATAAATCAAAATAAAACGCTGAAAAATCGTTAGGATACTTCAACACTTTGGTCTTCTTATGAATAATGAGTTTGAACTTTGCTATGATAGATTGTTATTTACTAATGTTACTTTCTAATTGGTAATTACGAATTACATATGTTCCACCCTCCTTAAACTTGTCACCCATCTTTGGAATGTTGACACCACGTATTAGTCTAGTTATGCGGTCATCATATAAAACTCGCAACACAAAAATAAATTTTTTTAAAAAATATATAATAAATATTAACAACTACTATTAAATCATACAATGAAGAATACTAACCTCACTATCGTGGAAAACTATTTTCAAATAACTTCGGTAAGAGACATCTAATGTCATTCTTGATATCCGAGTTGGGCAGGCTCAGGATTCCCGGTTCTTCGGGCGTGGAACCGGGGGAAGACGACCTCGTAACCCGGATCGGTCTCCGAGCAGCAGCGAAGTGCCGAGCTGACCGAGAAGCTAGATTAACGAGGACGATAAACGGCACCACCTCCGAGATCGGCGCCTTGACCACCCAGTGGCAAGGCTGACCTCTGCGGACGCCGAGCAGAGAAATGGGATCCCGAAGACTGGGGGATGAGTAAATGGTGAAAGTCCGACCCGAAGATTCCTCGAGATCGGCTTCTAAATAAACACAGAACTCGAAAATAATGTAATATTGCCACTTGGTAGCTGATGATTGCCGATGGGACGCGCCAGCCTAATCTACCCCCTAGGATGTCTAGCCCGGCCAAAAGGTCTGCCAGCATTAAATGCCACACATGTTTGCATTTAATGTCTGCCAGGTAATCATTGAAGATACCTCAAATCGCATTTAATATCTGTCAGAGCAGCGCCGACCTGCCCTTTAGTGCTACTGTGCAACAAGACCGACATAGTGCAAGAACAATGCCGAATTTAAGGATGCTATAAATAGAAGATCCACTTCATTTATTTTGGGTTGTTGAATCTCCCACCAGCTAATTCTCTCTCTAAAATTACTCTCTACTCTGTAATAAAACTCTGTGAATATTCCAAGTGTAACAAAAGTGCCGACATCGATATCAGAGGCCGACCTCATGATTAATATAAATAACTTAGGGCATGCTTGTTTATAAATTAATTCATTCTCATTCAATTCATACTCAAAATCTAACTCAACTTTAACCCAACCCCACTATCTTTAATATTGTTCATATAATTAAATTATACTAACCAATCATTCTTGCACATCACATCAACTTTAATGCACTATTCATCCACTCACATAATTTTAACTACCTATCATTTCCACTCATTTATCTCTTACTTTTACATCAAATCAATTTTTATTATTTTATTTTAAATATTATTTTAATACATTCTTAAAATTCCACTAACAACTAACCATACCACATTTTTCAAAATTAACTATGGTTAACCAAAATAACTCATTTTGAACAAATTATTCCATAAACAAGCGTCCCCTTACTTTTCTCGTATATCATCATTAGTTTCTATTTTTCTCAATATTAAATCCTTATTTAATCGTTGATCAGATCCGTCTATCAACAGTCGTATAAAAGATGTTGTTGGAAGTTCTTTTAAGATCATTGATTAGGCCAAAGGTTGATCCATGACTTTATTCTGAACGTGTGAAGTCTTTTTATTTTAGTTACTCGTATAATAGAGTTCTTCACTTAACTTGATTAGTAGATAGTTTATACTCGTATCTAGGAGTTTTTTATTTGGCTTGATTTGTAGATAGTTTATACTCGTATCAATGAGTTCTTCATTTGACTTGATTTGCGAATAATTTATACTCGTATCAACGAGTTCTTGAGTTGGTTTGATTTTTTAGATAGTTTATACTCTTGCGACGTTGATGATTCGAGGAAGGGTTCATTTATTTTTTTTTTCTTTTTTTTTTAAATAAAATAAAATTAAGGACAATTTCTGTTAAATGCTCTGATAATGGAGATGAAATGACAAGAAAAGGCAAAATGGATGGGGCGAGAGTTCCGAACAGTTCCTATTATAGGGAGATTCTACGATCCCGTTACGGAACCATTCCATCGGGATTTGTAACCGTTAGATCATCTATCCAAGACGATTACATGATGATCTAACGGCTACAAAATCCCGATGGAATGGTTCCGTAACGGGACTTTAGCATTTCCCTCTATTATAAGGGCTCTATAATAGTTTTTTTTATTTCTTCCTTCCTCTTATTCATAATTTTTTTTAATTCGTTGTTTCTATAGATTGTTTGTTTATTTTATTTTTTTCAAGTGAGGATTTTTTTTTTTCGAACAACACCCAGTAGGGTGGGGGGTTAAGGCCGAACCCCCAACCTGTATATAAAATGCTCTAAGTGGGCCGAAAAGTCACAAAACTACAAGTCCAATGTCTGATATACATCAAGTCAAGCGAAAATAAAAAACAAAACAAGAACAAATATTAGGAAAAGCTGACAACTGCAGCGCGAAATATAAAATAACAGATCCTGATCTGGGGGGATTCCCGGCGAGACAATCAGCATCATAGTGTGGTCGAAGCGCCAAGAGGTAGGACTGGCTACACAAATCTGAATGAAGGGTATTCCATCTGGTCCATCCGTATGAGAGTGCAGAAACAGATAGGAATATCGTCAGGGTAAAGTATGCGTCTTTTTCAAGTGAGGATTGGGGAAGAGGATTTGCACGAATATCACAATATGGAAATTTGATTAAATTAGGGGGTGATTGAACATTGTATGGTTGATCCCGATTTCCTACTCTCCAGGAGCAATCTCCACAAATCTAAATCGCCACATGCAATGGCGGCTTGAGACAATCGAGCCTCAGATTTGTTGGCTGATCGACGACGACCTACAACAATATTAGATTTTTGTATATAATTGATGAAAAGTTGTTTCTATGTTGTATGATTGTTGTAATGGTGTTTTTTTGTTGTTTAGGCATCCACTATCTAATATATTTGTTATAAACTTTTTTTTTGGTTATTTTGAAAGTGAGATCGTGTATTGTTTGCTCTGGTTTTCCTGGTCGTTTCCGTGCCTTTCGAAAATTAGAAAAAAGTGAATTATAACGTTTTAAAAATATTTTGTTTGATTTTTAATTTCAAAGAAATAATATTTATCTGTTCTCTTTCTCTATTAAGACCTGGACCTTACACAGAACCATTAGTTGGCCCAGACATGGCACCATAAAGTATTGGGCCCCAAAGGCTAAAATGCATTTTTGGTCCTGAGTTTTTGATAGACGAGCAATTTTAGTCCTGCAGTATAGGTATGTGGCACATTTAGTACTACAATTAAAAATTTTGGGGCAATTTTAGTCCTGCTGTCGTCAATTTTGGGGTTTTTTGGCCGGAAATTGCACGTGCCTGCCACGTGACTCATTTTCACCCGTCTAATGCCGACGTGGCCCAAGCCCCTGCGCGACGTGGATAAAAAACAAAAAAAAAAAAAAAAAAAAATGAGATGGCAATTGAAGGCGCCACGTCAGACCAAATTGGAGGGAAATGGACGGGAAATTGCGCGCCCATAACAATTATATTAGCCCCAATTTCTTACCGACCTGCAACCCTAATTTTTCAATCATGGAAGACGACGAAATATCAGAGACTTCTTACATGGCGACAGGGCCTTTGTGCGGTTGCGTCAAACCAAGTGTTGTTGTTGTTCGTACATCTTGGACATCCGAAAACCCAGGAAGACGGTTCTACTCCTGCAAAAAATATAAGGTACTTCCAATTTAATTTCTGAAATGAAGAACCCTAATTTTTGCAATTTTTTGGACATCAGAAATGAAGAACCCTACTTTCTTGGAATGAAGAACCCTAATTTTTGCAATTTTTTGGACATCTTCATTTTGAAATGAAGAACCCTAATTTCTTGGACATCAGAAATTTACAATTTTTTTTTATTTTCTTTGATTTCAATCAGGATGGAGGTGGGTGCAATTTTTTTGCTTGGGTTGATGGGCCGATATGCAATCGGTCGAAGCAAGTGATCCCTGGACTATTGCGCAAATCGAACGAGCTGCGCCAGAAACTTCAACAAATACAAGAAGAAAATGATAAACTGAAGGAAGAAAATAAGAACTTAGCAGCTGAGATGAAAAGCCTTAAAATATCCATGAGGATCGAGTCAAAGCGTACAATGTGGCTGTTCATTGTTGCATCTGCTATCATTTTCTATCAGTATCTGAATAAAAATTCTGGTGGTCAGGGTTCCTCTAACATGATTGCATAAACTAGTTGAATGGATGTATTGGTGAAGTTGTGACATGTATTTTCCCTGCATTTGTGTTTGTGTTTTTGTAACTTCATCCTTATGGCTGGTTAGGATGTATGAAGGTTGATGTATTGAACTGATTCCATGTTGTTGTGTTTGTAATGCTTCTGTTTCTCAAGTTTGAATGTTATGGCTTTTTTGTAACTTTGTCCTTTATGCTTCTGTTTAGTACTAGTTAAAATGCTTCTGTTTATTAGTACTTATCCTTTGTAATGCTTCCATGTAGTTGTGGTTGAAGTTTGAATGTTCTGATATGAAAAGCAAAAGTTCAAGTAAACTGGAAGAACAATAAGCTTCATTCATTGCAACCACATTGTTTGATAAGTACAAAAATAACTTGGACCCCTTACAAAAGCAAAATCCAAAAGCAGTTGTTCAGTTTTTCCCACAATCAAAAACAACTATTTATACATGTCTTCCCAAAAACAAAAGCAGTTGTTCAATGTCTGTTAATCACATGAAGTACCATCAATTTCCCTAACTAGTTTCTTTTGCCACCAGAATGCTTATAACCCAATGCCTGTTGAAGTTGTTCAAAGGGGCTTGGTCCTGCTTTAGATGGTACTATGGGAATTTGGTACTCAGGACAATTTGGTCCTCTTAACTGCAATTCTTCATTGGANAAAAAAAAAAAAAAAAAACATTGAATAAAACTAACTACTATGATTATTTACTTACACTAGTACTAGATTGACTAGTGTTTGCATTATTCTGTCTATTAGAAGCTCTTGCTCTTTTTCTTTGAAGCTGCACATAGAATAAACATAAAAAAACAAATGAACAGAGTTTTAAAATTGATCTATAGTAACAAAAGCTAAAAAAACAATAAATCACACTAATATGTAAATTGACTTACAATGCTGTCAACTTGGCCACCTTGCTTTTTTCTTCTATCACATGACCTCATATTATGACCAGTCACCCCGCATTTCTTGCAAGTAACTTTCCAGCCTTGCTTGAACATCTTAACTGAATTCTTTGACTTCTTCTTCTTGGGCTCTTCAGGACCCCTCTTTCTGGCTTTTGATGGCCTCCCAGCACCCCTCCCAAAGTTAGGAGGCAAAGGTGGAATGAAAAGAGTCTGAGTCCACTGTGATGCACTATTTGTTCCAAAAATTGCACCACCATACACCTTCTTGTACAATTGTGCAGAGTACCAATCAGAGACAAAGTCAACTGGATCCCATTTTTGTGCTAAAATAGCACTACCAGCATGCTTACATGGGATTCCTGATAAGTCCCAAACCCTGCAAGTGCAGCTTCTTTTCTCCAAGTCAACATTGAACTGAGACCCATCATAGCACTTGATTTCAAAATGAGTGTCATCACACTTAATAGGCATACAGTCTGAGACATGGGATAGATGCTTCTGTAGGATCAAGTTGATAGTAGGACAAATTCTTCCACTCCATCTTAAGTCAGCCTTATCCCTTTTCTTTTGAAGTTTGGTGCACAAGTATTCCCTGATCCACTCACACATGGTGATTATTGGCTTATCCCTGGCCTCAATGATGTTGCTGTTGAAGGTCTCACATATATTGTTAAGCAACAAATCACACTTTGGCAAATCAGAAAAGAATGCCCTACACCATTGTTGTGGTGGTTTATTCATAAACCAGTTGAATGCCTCAACACTCATGCCTTTAATTTCTAACATTCTTGCAGTAAAATCTCCCACAGTTGTGGCCTGGGCTGCCTTCCACACAGCAGTCTTATAAGCCAATCCTCTGAACCCAGCATTAAGGAAATTATTGTGCAAATGCCTAACACAGAATCTATGTGCTGCCCCAGGAAAGACAATGTCAAAGGCCTGTATAAGCCCTTTTTGTTTATCAGATATGAATGTCTGCATTTCTGGCTTAGAGATATCCAAATCCTTCTTCAAAATGGTTAAAAACCACTCCCAACTCTCTCTGCATTCCACTCCAACCACAGCAAATGCAATAGGGAATAAATTGTTGTTAGGGTCTACTGCAACTGCAGTTAACAAAATCCCACCATGTGGCCCCTTCAAATGACACCCATCTACACCTATCAGTGGTCTACAACCAGCTTTATAACCCTCTTTCAAAGCACTAAAACAAACATAAAACTTACTAAATCTCTCATCACCACTCACTTTTTCAGTTGCTAATAACACTGTTGAACCAGGATTGGAAGATTTTAGCTCCTCTGCATAATCCCATAGCTGTGAGTATTGAACATCAGGATGTCCCTGAAGAACATTCATGGCCCTTCTCTTGGCTCTATAAGCCTGATCTTTGGAGACATTCACATTCAGTTCATGAATTACATCAAGCCTCCAGCCCTTCACACTTCTCTTTGGGTCAGTTTGAAAATTGCTAATGTACCTCTCACTCAGCCACTTAGACTTAATGTTCTTCACATTGAAGCTCCCATGACATGTATGATTGGGATTATACTCTCTAATTTGGTAACTAGATTGTCCCTTCATTTGTAAAAGATTACATCTCCACTTACAGCCTCCATCATCACATCTAACATAAACCCTAATCTTATCATTTTTAATTGTCTTTAGGGTCCTTTTTGTTTTAATTGAAAGTGATTGAATGGCCTTTCTAAACTCCTGTTTAGTTGCAAAAACCATTCCCAACTCAAACACAGGATCAAATATAAGTTCAGGATTGAAGACAGGAGTCTCTACCTCTGCCTCATATTCACTATCAACTAAGTCATCTAACACATCAGGATTAGCAACCACATCTTCATTATCACTATCACTAGACTCTGACTCATCCTCTCCATTGGCACCTGTATCTACATGCTCAAAGAATAATGCATCATCATCATCACTACTAGCATCCCTCATGTCATAATCACTATCAAAGAATTCATCATACCAATCAGTAGAATGTCCACTATCCTCATTACCCTCAGAATTCTCAGCATCACTCAAATGAACACCTTTTCCTCTGTTAACCCCAACAAGATTATCCTCGACATCAAGATTAGTTTCACTTACATCATTCTGACTCCTAATCCCACTACCAACCCCAACAATATTATCCTCTTGAGTAACACCCTCTACACCAACAACATTATCCTCACTCTCACTCTCAGACCCACTCTCAGATCCACTATCACCCCCACTCTCAGACCCACTCTTACTCCCACTCTCATTATCACTGTCACTCTCATCTAGATCCACCCAACTACCTTCAACAGACAAACTAGAAGGTTCAAAAGTGTTGAAAACTTCCACAAATACATTAAACTCCCTTTCAGATAAGTGGGACTTTGCCCAAATCCTAACATCATCATCCCCTTCTAGCCTCCTCAGACTCAAACCCACCTGTATGAAATAGCTCCTATCACCAACCACACCAAATTTTGTGGAAAACAATTTTAGTTTCTTTTCAGACATTTCATTAGCAGGTACAAAATCAAACACCATTTTATGGCCACCTTCATATACTCCAAAGTCGGACTTCTGGAATTTACCACCACACCACAAAATGACAGTGAATAGGTCACTACTTCGATCTATGCATATAGGAAGAAAACAAAAATTAGAACCCTAAAATTTTAACAAACAGAGGTGGGGCATCGTTTTCAAAATAGAAAAAGAGACATAATAGCACATGGGGTCAACTAATTTGGAAATAAACAACCCTAAAATCGGACAAGAAAAACAGACTAGGGTTTTCAAAAAATTCGAATAACATACCGTAGCTTGGATTGGGTGAATCCCAGTAACTTTTCGATCTGATTTTGATTCTTGTCTCCATAGATTAATCGCAGGAACATCTACAATTTTGGATTTTGCATAAATTTGGGATGGAATTAGAAGGACAGATTTGTTCTATCGTCTAAATGACGGTATGCTTTCTCAGTTTAATCGATCAATTTCCCGTCCATTTCCCTCCAATTTGGTCTGACGTGGCGCCTTCAATTGCCATCTCATTTTTCTTTTCTTTTTTTTTTGTTTTTTATCCACGTCGCGCAGGGGCTTGGGCCACGTCGGCATTAGACGGGTGAAAATGAGTCACGTGGCAGGCACGTGCAATTTCCGGCCAAAAAACCCCAAAATTGACGACAGCAGGACTAAAATTGCCCCAAAATTTTTAATTGTAGTACTAAATGTGCCACATACCTATACTGCAGGACTAAAATTGCTCGTCTATCAAAAACTCAGGACCAAAAATGCATTTTAGCCGGGGCCCCAAATACCAAGATTTGTAAGATGTCCTTGTTGGGGAGAGCATTAGTCGGCCCAAATTTCCACAATATAGTATTGGCCCCTACTTTATATATAAGGCCAGTAGATTCTCGACTCGCTAATGTTATGATTTGCACGGTGTCCTTGCCGGGGAAAAATTCTCCGGCGGTTCACGCTTCCATGGCATCGTCGTCGGCTGAATCTCCGACAGAAAAGCTCCATAGGTAACTAGAATTTCTTTCTATATCGTTCGGTTTTTATTTTTGGTTCTGTTAATGCTTAGTTTGAGCTGTATAATTGCCAAATTCAGCGTTAAGTAGACATCAAGAGCTAATTAGGACTGCAGAGAAATGTAGAACGCCGGATTGATGCATTAATCTTTACTTTAATTTAAACTAACTAGCTGTAATCGTTTGTTCGAGTCTTAATGTTGTACTTATCTGTATTGGCTCGTAGGGACAATGGATGACCGGAGGTGTTGGATAAAATGCCTCAACGAAAAACATTGTCTGATTTTCTTGTGGATACTTTTACATGGTAATGGAGGTACCATCAATTTTTTTTTTTTTTAATATCATAATTGTTGATATTTAGTTGGTGATATGCAAGGTATTCCGTAATTTACTGGTTGTTGTTAGCTTATTTAATGCAAGGTAGTTATAATTTTTTTATGAATTCTGTATCAGTTGAATTAAATTTCCTAATTATGAATAGCGTAGTCTGAATTCTCCCGTTGTATATGTGATTGATATTGTTCTCGTCATATATTGTAATGCGTGCTTTATGGTGCTTTAGTTATGGTATTCGCGTGTTTTGCAATAAACTTGGATTCAGTTTGAAATCTAGTGAAATTCATCCTGTGCTTCTGGCCTGCTCGAGATTTTTTGTTTATGCGCCACAACCACAAGGGATGGAGCCAGGAAATTTGGATAGGGTGGCTAACTTGATCCTAAATATATAAAGTTAATTATTGATTTTTAATGAGCTTTGAGATACTAATCAATTTAGAGAAGTCATGTCAGCATATTGTTTTTGTATACACAGAAAAATAGAGTTAAGCTTTGGGTTGGAAGAAAAAAATAATAATAATGTGGGAGATTTTGGAAAGTATGCTAGACTTTTTCGATTGAAAGGAGAAAAGAATAAGGTTGGACTGTGTTGTGAAAATTGACTATAAAAAATGTTCTTCTTTTATTTCTTTCCTTTTATTTTAACTTAAAATAGCATGACTTGGGTAAGAGTAGGCTTGAAGGTGAGTGATTTCAAAGACCAGTTTTAAGAATTGGAAGTGTGTATTTCCAAGACCAGTTTTAAGAATCAAACTAGCTACTTTGAGTGACACATATGGTAGTAAGTTGGCTGAAGTAAATTTCTTTTCAAGCAATGGGAGCCTTTTATGATTGTCTTTGCCATGTTTTGAATTTCGACGTACTCTAGAAAGATATAACAAGCCAGGTAATCTGTGTGGTCACTGTGGTCATTATTGATATTCACCATGATAGAAAATTGTCAAATATAAGCTTCTGTTAGTAGACTTGGTAGTATCATCACCATTCACCAGCCACTAGCATAACTTCAGATTTCTCTCATACATTGCAATTACATGTAGGTAATAGGTGTTACGAACCTTAGGGTATTGGATTAATTGATGTATTTCTTTGATATGAATGACCATTTATATTGAGTTCTTCGTGGGCCTTATGGTTCTGTCATAGGGCATTGGCATAATAACACCCCCCTTCAAACTCAAGTTTGAGTTTGAGCAAGTGAAGGCGATGTTGTTCTCTAGTTTGTGCTTTGGTGAAAAAATCTTCACTTGCAGTTAAGGCAGTTATGAGGGCACACATACTGAAGAACAATTGTTTTAACAATTGTTTTCTAATAAAAATGAGACCAGGTAAAGAAAACATCGACACCGATGTGTTTTGTAAGCTCATGCTTCACACAGGATCATTGACAATTTGTATTGCTCTAGATGGAATGCCAAAATCACATAACAACCATCGAAGCCATATAATTTTTGAAGTGGTAGTGACAAGTGCTCGAAGTTGTGTCTCTGTGCTAGAGCGCGATAAGGTTGCTTCTTGGACTTCCATGGAGAAGAATAAGAAAAATGTTAACCAATGACAAAATGACGATTTGTTAGACTACTCGCCCAAGTAGAGTCCGAGTAAGCATGAAGCTGAAACAGACTATCACGAGCATAAAACAAACACTAAGATGATGTGCCCCTTAATTAAATACCGTAACACACGAAGCAAATGTCCAAAATGAAGCGAAGTAGATTCACTTACAAACTGATTCAATATATGAACAACATGAGCAATGTCAGACCTGGTAACACTTAGATAAACTAAACTGCCCACAATATGCCGGTATCGAGAGGGATCCTCAAGAGGCATGCCATTAGTAGACGAAGCTACATGAGAATATCATAGGTGTAGCCGTTGTCGTATTATCATAATGCAAGAACGAACAAGATCTTATATGTATTTGGACTACGAAAGGTAATAGTCCGAGTCAGAGTGCCCAAGAAGTAGCTAAGAGGACTCAAATCGGACATTTGAAATTGCTCACCAAGTTGTTTCTTGACATGAAAAATATAGTCTGCATCATCTCCCGTAATCAACATAGAAAAGAAGTAGAGTACGTCCATGTGGAGAGAAATGAATAAACATGGCAGAATCATGATCACTAGAGGAAAAACTAACAGCTCGTATGATAGGGACCAAGCGCTTATACCAAGTATGTGGAGCCTATTTGAGACTATAAGGTGGGACGAAGATGACAAACATGTTCGCAGGGGGCACCAACACGTGATGGTGGTTCTATATAAATTTCCTCATGCAAATCATCATGAAGAAAAGCATTCTTCACATCCATTTGAGGTATAGTCCAAGAATGAGTAGCAGCCACCTCATTCATAGTATAGATAGTGGTCATGTGAGCAACAGGAGCAAAGGTCTCATGATAATCTCTTTTGAAAACCTCTAGCAACAAGACGAGCTTTATATCTCTCAATGTCCATATGACTTTGTTTTAAAAACCTCTCTCTCTCTTTTTTTTTTTTTTTTTTTTTTTTTTTTTTTTTTTCGATCTCTTCCTTTTGGTTCGAGTCCTTTTGTGTTTCTCTTGGGTTTCATCTTTAGCCTACCCCGACTTGCTTGTGACTAAAGGCTATGTTGTTGTACCCACTTACAGTGATAAGTACGACATGCGACGGTAAGGGAACAAAATCTCAAGTGCCAGTACGATTAAGTGTAGCAAGCTCCTCTAGCAAGTTGCCACACCGGAATACACAAAACTTTATGATAAGTGGATGGCTAATCAACAATAGCACTCGAACGTGGAAAACCTAACCTGTCAGGAGGCTCTATAGTAGCAAGATTACGTAAATCATCTCTGACCATTGACTCTCCATGAATTGGATGTGACACATTAGAATCAACATGATTATCAAAGACAGGAGCATTAGGACTGCCGAGACAGGAGAATGAGGCGGAAGCGTTGTGTGACTTATTGGACGACAAGTATAGACCTGTGATAGGTGGTTTATATGAAGGAGACTCGTAAAAAATGGGTGGTGGAGGCTCATCATGAGAGGTTCGGAGTGAGGGAGATGGTGAAGAGGCAGGAACATAATCATCACGAATAGGAATAGGAGAAAGACATCAGAACTAGACTATGAAGAAGAAGAAGACGTTGGGTACGTAGAAGGGTTATAAAAGAAAGGACGATCCTCGACGAAGGTTACATCACGAGATATACGTATGCGGTGAACACAAGAATTATAACAACGATAACCGTTATGCTTAGGACTATACACCAAAAAGATGCATTCAACCAACTGTGCGCTCACGAGGCGCAAACAACACGTAGCATGTACATCCGAAAACCCGAAAACCCGAAGATGATCGGGGAAATACAAAAAGTACCTCATCAGGGAACTTACCAGATTGGACTTTGGATGATAAGTGTTGTCGGTTGATAAGATAAACAACTGTGACCCAACTTCTCCCCAAAAATGAGAAGGAACATAGGAGGCAATGGGAAGAGTGTGAGCAGTCACAATGAGATTGCGGCGGTTTCTTTGTGCAACATTGTGAGCATGTGCACCAGAAAGTAAGTTGAGAAAGAGTGCCCTCAGAGGTCAGAAAGTTTAGTTGTAATTAAATTAAAATATTTATTTGTCCATGGGGACAACTTTTGATTATTGATGAAAGGTAATAGTACAGGTTTTGACATCGTATTTAGAAGATTTGAGTTTCATGGTAGGTTAATCCTGTTTTATAAAGATAATTGTAATTACCAATTTTCCATTAAAAAAATATAAATAAAAAATATAATTTGTCATATTTAAATTCAAATATTTATTTTTCTATATTGGTGCCGCCCTTGATTTTGATGATGATTTGGTTGTATTTAAACAAAATATTTATTTTTCTATGTGGACCACTTTTGATTATTGATGAAAGGTAATAGAATAGGTTTAAAATCGTATTTAGAAGATTTGAGTTTCATGATGGCTCAATCCTATTCTATAGGGATAATTAATTGTAATTACCAGTG